CACAGGTGATCAGGCCAGGTTAGTACTAATACTGGTTAGCATGGAGCCACTAGTTTGTTTAGCACTTACTTCAAAAGCAGAGCATGGAAGTGGATGCCACAAATATCTCTAGCATGAAAGCAAATAATCAGAAATGACAGAGTATTTCTAGAAATTGGACCCAGACTGAATGAGAGTTCCAAGCATAGCTCTATTTGTAGGAAATAGAATTACTATTAGTTTAATTCAAGAATGCTTTAAAGAGAGCTATAAGTGGAAACTTCTAAAGCCTTTTAACAGCAGGGCTGCCTTCCCCTAAAACAAGAGTTTAAAACAAGGTATAAAAAGACCAGTTGAGGTATTCCAGTTAAGGCAAGCATAAATAATCAACTTAAAAATGAGACATATAATTAATAACAATAATAATCTCACCTTATGTTTGTGTCATACTTGCCAATTATAAAAAAAAATCCAGTTATCTCATTTTGAACTTCAAAAAATTGATCCAAGGTAAGAATAATATTATCATTATTATAAAAAAACAAGATTCAGATAGATCAGGGATCTCTGCCCAGGTGTACAGAAGGGTGGAGCCAGGTGTACAATAGTCTCATTCAAGCAAGTTTCTGCTGTCTTACTGTGGCCCACCCAGGTCAGCATTTCAATCTTTATCATCTCTGATAGAAAAGAAAAGGGATGTCTTATGGTCTAATTCAGTTCTCAGTGATAGAAGAATATTATTTCCAGTGTTCCTACTGTCTAGTCAATTAGGAATTGGTTGATTTTTCACTTAGAATACAAAAGACTCTTTGATAATTTTTTGGCACATTTTACCCTGCATTTTACAGAGTCAAATTTTGCACACTGAGAGCATTCAAAAATTAAGATTTGGTTATAGTGGCTTAATGTCATTGGAATACAAAAAAATATTCACAAAATTTCAACAAATATCTTGTTTCAATGAAAAACATTGACATATGATTCCTATTAAAAAATACATCATGAAGTTTTTAAATTACCACCATTACAAGCTTAATGTATGCATAGATATGAAATCATTATGGGAAATTCAAAGTCACCTGAAGTCTAAAGTTTTTTTTTTTACAATATTATCTTTGCTCTATATTTTGACATTGCCACCTACATTCTAACTATTTTGCACATGGAATATAATATTGCTTCTCTTACACTGTCAGGAAAAGTTATCTTCTTGAATCCATGAAGAACTGCTAAAGGCAAGAGCCTCAGCAGTTTTTGTGAAACCCCACAAAATCTTTGAGATGGAATAAATCAAGTTAAAGGAATTTAACTCAACATATTGGAAGAGGGAAAAGAAGTCTTCAAGGGCTGACTGGTTATTTTTCAAAGTCATTCATTTTTAATTAACTTTGGTTTCAGCAAAGAAAATATCAAGAAGTAACCTTAAAATATTTATGTGTCCATAAAAACTGTGACAAAAAAATGTCATATGACTGAGAAATGCCCTATATCAAACACCGTGCCATCAGGTTCTCTTTCTAACCCCTGTACAAAGCACAGGGGTTCACACTAAGAAACTTCAATTTATATAACAAATATGTTTCAGAAATTAAAATGATGATATTCTATAACAGTTGTTAATATACATCTTGTCTCAATAGTTATCAATAACAAACATATTTCCCAAAATAGTTTCTACTCAGTAAATTAAATTTGTTTTACTTACAAATTAAT